GGTGGGTGTTCTTTTAAGCTTTGCAAGGGCAGTTACCTGCGGTAGGAGGGGCAACAGCTGCCTTCCTTGCTGTTAGGAATTGCTTTTCTCTGTGAATGATCCTCTTGGCCGCACCCTAAATTGTGGGAATTGGATTGAGCGCCCAGGCCTACAATTCCTGAGCCCGTGCTGCCCTCTCCTGGGCCCTTCTGGGAGCTCCCAATGGTGAGGCTGTCAGTGCAGGCATCCGACCAGCAGGGGGCGCCTGCGGGCCGAGACCTGTTTGCCAAGCTCAGCAACCCATTTTGCGGATAGCTGTTTATTAAACCAGCACAGGGACTCAGAGAGTGTGGAAACTAGGAAGCTACATTCTGTGGAAAGATTCGGTGCCTGCCTTGTGTTCCAGAAGCTTCTAGGAATGAATGCTTGTTGGCTGCCCAAGCTCGGGGACTCCCCACCTTCCCACTCCTGTGTCGGGAGCCTCAGCTCAGGTGCCCAGCAGGGCACCTTCCCCATTAGGTGCCTCAGCTTCTGCCAGCCCAGTGTTGGCTGCGGCGAGGCAGTTCCACGGGGAGAGAGAGGGGTCTGCTGCTCCTGGGGCACAATGACTTACACCCCAGTTGTTGAAGGCTGTATCAATAGAGGTAGTGACGCTGGACAGGTACTGGCCGCCACCCCTCACCCCCCTAACTTGGCCCAAGTCAGGTCAGCAGTGGTCCACACCCAGTAGGGACTTGATTCTTGCCTGCCTTGGGTGGAGGGCACCCAGAGTGTGGGCGATTTTTCCTAATAGAGTCCTAAGCCAACCTGTGGCTGGAGACACTTCCACACGGGGGCCTACGCCCGGACCCGTCTCCCTGGCTATGAGCACACCTTACCTGGCCTGTACGTTTTTGTACATTTCTTCCTAAGTGAAATCTGGTGTTTTCCCCCCACTGTGATCTTAAATTCCTAAAAAAATAAACTTGAGGGGAAACATTTACCTAATTTATTAAAAGAGAGAAAGCCTTCCTTTGACATGTAAAGACTTTCAGGAGTAGAAGCTCCTAAGAGGAAGCACTGCTTTTAATGTCAGTGGACACCTCATTTACTCCGCGTATGTAATTGGACTTGCACTTGAACAAAGGGAGAGGTTTTTTGCGTCTTTGCTTACATTGGGTTTTTGTCACTGTGTATAGTTTGCCTTTTTTGTGTTTGCTGTATGTTTGGGAATGTTGCAAATCTGTTTGATATTTATTGTTTCTCTGAGGTGCCTTTTCACTTTTCTTTGGGGTGGGTTTTGGAATCTGGTGCAGACTCCTCCAGCTTGGAGATAGGACCTGTCCTTGTGTCATTGTGGACGCTCAGCTGGGCACCGGAAACGCCCTTCCAGTACCCTAGGCCAGCACGTATATGCACAGTCACCCCCCTGAAGCAGTGAGAACCCCGAGAAGTGCTGGCTCCCTCCAGACGAGCCCACACCGTCCCGGGACACTTGGTCACGTCTGGGCCAGGGACTGCTGCCTGCCCCTAGGCCTGGGCTCCCCGCCACCAGGCATGTGGTGAGGTGTGGCAGGGCAGGTGCCAGCCCTGGCTGAGGGGTTGCACTGCAAAGAAGCAGGGCCCGCTGAGCTCCTGAGTAGCACTGGCCCCCAGACACTTGAACTGCTGGACATCACGAAGGGGGAAGAATATGCACACCCTTTTGTTTCCTTAGTGAGCACGGGGTTTCGTCTGGGAGGAGGGCCCCTGCATCGCCGGTAGCGCACGCGTGAATGTGAAAGGTCGACTGAAACTGTGCTGTTCACAGGCGGGTGGTGTTTGTGGACCAGACCAAGGCAGGCCACCCACTCTCCATGGTGGCTTACCTGGATTGTGTGTGTCATCAGGGCATGACCACCCCCTCCCCTGCCCCCAAACTCCTTGGTTTTTTAAAAGTCTATTTTGCTAACGACAGGCTCTGTTATACATGTTGCTATCCGAAGCCTGGACTGTTTTATTTATTTAAAAACACTTTAGTTTCCACACTGCTTCATTCCTCTTCCACCCATCCCCATGGGCCCACAGCGCTTCCGTGTGAAGAGCTGAAGGGCACAGAGACTCAGCTTCCTGAGGAAGGAAGATGGGATGTCCTAAAGCGGAGGGCCAGTCCCTCTCCTCCCTGTTGGCTTCAACCAGAAGTGGAAAGCCAAGTTTTTATAGCAAACGGCCAAACTAGCTGTAGTCTCAGATGCGGGGAAAAAAATTACGTAGCTCTCTTAGCACTTAGGGGTTTTGTGAGGATTCAGTGTTTAGCAGTGTCTGGCACATAGTAGGCCCTAGTAAGTGTTAAATGTTATTAGCATTTTACAAAATTTGAGAAGAGCTGCACTCACCCCTTATCAGTTGGTTCAAAAGTCGTACCTACAGGACTTTTGTGGGATTTATGGGTGAGCGCGTCCAAGTCCTGCGCCCACCCTGTGGCTGGAACGTTGCTGGATCCCTGAATGCACTGACTGACTGGAAAACTTGCCTGGCTTCAGCCCCAGATGAAACGAGGCTGCGGAATTTGCACACGGGAGGTGGCAAGGGTGACCTTTGGCTCCATGCTGGGCCTCACCCCAGTGGTGTCTCCTGGACTGTTCCAGAGTTTTTCCTTGGGGAGCTTTTTGAGCTAGAAATTAAGGTGAATTTTCCCATCGACTTTACCCCTTAAAGTTAACTATTGCTCTGAAACGCAGTAAGAGAGGCTTTCTGTTTTCAAGGGGAAAGGAGCGACCGATTGACCCTGCTATCCCCTGCCGGCCAGGGCGGCTCCTCCACAGTCCAGTCCACAGGGGCCAGACTCCTGGGCGGGTTCGCTGTCAGGTGTTTGCACTGGCCCCGGGGCCACCGGCTAGCCCGGGGGACCCCAAGACTATACCACCATCCCGGTGGAGCCAGGGGTGGGGCGGGGAGAGTATCTTCAGAACCACTCCCAGAGCTGCTGGTGGTTCACTGATTTTTTTTCCCATCACCTAAATATCAGTTCACTTTTTATTGGGGTTCTAGCCTCTTGCTCCCCAATTGGAGCTGCGTCTCCTCGCCTGTCTTGGTCCTCCTCTGGACAGATGCACTGTGGAGTGTGGAGGAGTTTGCTGGAGCCCTGTGTCCGAGTTCCTGTTTTCTCTTCACCTGAATCGGCAGCCCTAGACTTCTGTGGGTGTAAGACTGGGATTCACCTTCTCCCAAGCATCATTCCTCTATCCCTGATTTGTGGAGCCTTGAGATGAACTCCCCCAGTCGCCTGCAGCTGGTGAGGCCTGGCAGAGGGACCACGGCCAGCGAGTGCTCATAGGACGTCAGGTGTGTCTGGGGGCTTGGGGCACGCAGAGAACGTCAGCCAGGCTGGAGGCCTGAATGCCTGGCTGGGACAGCAGCATGGGAACCTGGGTAGTCTGCCACTTCTGCCCAAGGGGAGACGGAGCAAAGTTGGGAAGCATTTTGCTCACTGTCCTGCCCAGGTGTTAATAGGATAACAGTGGAACAGTTGGTGCCAAAGGAGATGGTGATGTCCCTTCTACTGTAGTTGCTGTCACAACTTGATGTCTCTAAGCTAATGACTGTTCACATCTGTGTCTTCAAACAGCGCCTGGTTCACTGGGGTTTAGTGCAGGGTTCTGCCAACGAGGTGTCGCTGCCCACACATCCCAACGTACTGTACCTGCATAGAGCACTGCTTTGTTTTCCACTGTTGTAGACAAAACTAGGGAGAACTTTATTTTTCAATAAACTTTTCTTGTGTGACAGGTAGGAGTGATCTTTGGGGGACTGGGTGGGTGCAGGGTCACCTGCAGGACGCCAGCTGCACCCCAGCGCTGGCGTCCACTGCCCGCGTCTCACCGTTTGCAGACACCGCCGGAAAGGCTGAGAGACCGTGACGGTTAAGGAGTGGAGGATGGTTTCACTGTGGTGTGTTCTTTCCCTGCCTCACATCCACCCATACTCATCTCAGAGCACTGCCTAGACGGGGCCTTTTTTTGAGATAACTGTACTACATCAGATGCTTGAACATCATTAAGGATGTGCTCGTGAAATAGTCCTAAAAAGGTGAGGGCCTGTTAGACCTGATGCATTTCCCTCATGAGCACTGGGTTAGGCACCTGCTCTGGAAACAAGATCAAGTGTGTGGGCACACCAGGGGCTGCTGCAGGTGGTGCTGGGGGAAGGCATGGCCCAGCCTCAGCACAGCCTCTCACGCTCTGCCCAGAGCAGGGACAGCACACAGTTCCTGGATACGGAGTTGCAGGTACGGCATGATTCCTGTACACCAGTCCCAGAAAGGTCCGAGAAGAAGGTGAGCATGCACGTTTGGGGGGGGGGCTACCCCCTGCTTCCCTCGGAGCTTCCATGCTGTATTAAATACACAGGAAACCTCAGGAAAGACACCACTGAACCTCCCATTCCCCGACCTGCTTGAGCAGGCGGCCCTTTACCAGGTCCGTGTTCGTGTCCTGCAGAGACCTCTGCCACGCGTTGTGGAGGAAGCTGGCCGACAGCGCCAGGCAGCACCAAGGTCAGGGGTCCCCAGACCAAACCACCTCCCCTTCATCAGCCTGGAGCAGAGCAGTGGGAGTGGGGTGTGGGAGGGGGAGTTGGGGTCTGGAACAGCCATCCCTCAGTCCCAGGCAAGGTCAGCTCGAAGGCCTCGGGCACCACCACATCAGTGTGTGGCCATTCCTCGCCGGAGTGATGGGTGGCCTCCCCACAGACGCAACCCACAATCCTCAGGGCCTCCACTCACACTCCACCCGGAACAAGCGGCCCTTCCATGTCGTCCTTCAGCCATACAGCAAGCCTGCCTGTGACGGAGACACTCTCAAAGGTCACCTCCCGGCCACACAGAACAGGGCGCGGTCTCTATTGGCCGGACAGTCGCCTGGGCAAACAGCAAGTGCTGCAGTACGGATGGGTGTGGGGACCATTCTCCCAGAACTGATACCTAACGTTACCCAAGCTGCAGACAGCTCGTCCTGACAGCCGCCTCTCACAGGCCAGAGTACCACAGCCACCTGACACAACACAGATACCTGCACATGTGGGTAGATTGTGTAATTATTTATTACAAATAAACGGTGGTTTCACATCTGTCAAAAACGGGTCCTGTTTTTACATGTGTGTGCAGGTTCTGATGTACAAGAAAGGGTCATGTGCTTAGTTCGTCCATGCAAAGCTCACACGTACATCACTAAATACTTTAAAAATAGAACGATCTCCTTTTGAACCAATCTGTTTAGATTCAGGATTAGTAAAACAGTATGAAACTAATGAAATACAGTGATAGGAATTAGGAAGTGTGACACTGACGGTTCTGGGCATGTGAAGAGTGAGGGACAGAAGGGTACACACGGTCTTCCCTTCAGTTCTGCCGGAGAGATGAGCTCCAAGGGCCCGAGCTGCTCCATGCCCAGAGGAGGCGGGTGTGGTCAGTGGCTCTGTTTCAGAACTTCCTGCCAACAGAGACCTTACCCAACCCACAGGAACCTTTTTACTCCAGAAAACAGAAACAGCCAGCTCCCAATGGGCATGGGAAAACCAGTGTCCCCTCCTGTGCACGGCGTCCTGATGGGGTGACGGGGGAGGTGGGCGAGGGGAGCAGTGCAGACCAACCTGCTGGGCACGCCTGTTCCCGTGAACACAAACTCTCCAAATAAGGAAGTGGATGTTCAGCTAAATACTGGCACCGTCCGCCGTGTGGGACCCTCTCGTCCTGATGTCTTCATGCAGATGCAGACTGGCACTCGGGCCCTTCACTCAAACATCTCGTAGTGGCGCGTCTGCCTCACCCTGGGCACCATGTCGATGAGGAGTCTGCAGAGGACACACACAGGTCACCCAGCACACTCCCATAGCCCGGGGTTTGAGCGCTTGGGGAAGCAGATGGGAGAGGCAATTAAAAAAAAAAACTAATTCACATACCATAAAATTCAGCTTTTGAAAGTATATGACTTGGTGGTGTTTGGTATTTACTTACATTGTCTAATCATCACCACCACCTAATTCTAGAACATTTTCCTCACCCCAAAAAGAAACCTACCAGCGTTATTCCCTTTTCCCTCCCCAACTACCCTCAACCACTAATAGATTTTCCCTAATTAAGAGAATATTTAATTTATAAAAGTAGACGTGTACACTTTTATTTTGTAATTTACCTGATTGTTTAAAGTGTAAAGTTGAAAGTTTATTTGTTTTGTTTTTTCCTATATTTTGTTTTTAGATTCCAAATATAAGTGAAATCATATGGTATTTGTCTTTGTCTGACTTATCCCACTTAGCATAATGCCCTCTAGGTTCATCCATGTTGTGGCAAATAGCAAGATTTAATTCTTTTTATGGCGGAGTAATATTCCTTTGTATATATGTACCACACCTTCCTTATCCACTCATCTATCCATGGGCACCTAGGTTGCTTCAGTATCTTGGCTATTGTAAATAATGCTGCATATGTCTTTTCTAATTAATGTTTCCAATTTCTTTGGATGAATACCCAGAAGTGGGATTTATGGGTCACATGGTAGTTCTATTTTTAATTTTTTGAGGAACCTCCATACTATTATCCACAGTAGCTGTACCAATTTATAATCCCACCAACAGTGCACAAGGCTTCTCTTTGTCTTCACATCCTTGCTAACACTTGTTTGATTACTGACGATAGCCATTCTGTCCCTTTAACATCTCTTATAACACTTGTTTAGTGGTGATGAACTCCTTTAGCTTTTTCTTGTCTACTTTGATTATAATGATATAGAGTAACCTTTGTGGTCAGTCCTTGCTTTTCATGACTTTTAATATTTTGTGCCAAGTTTCTGTTGAGAAATCAGCTGACAGTCTTATGGGAGCTCCCTTAAAGGTAATGGAATGATTTTCTCTTGCTGTTTTTAAGATTCTTTCTTTGCCTTTAACCTTAGGCATTTTAATTATGATATGTCTTGGTGAGGGCCTCTTTGGGTTCATCTTGTTTGGGACTCTCTGTGCTTCCTGGACTTGTCTATTTCCTTTGCCAGATTAGGAAGTTTTCAGTCATTATTTCTTTCAAGTAGGTTTTTAATCCCTTGTTCTCCCTCTTCTCCTGCTGGTACCACCGTGATACAAATGTTGTTATTCTTTATATTATCCTTTAACTATCCTCATTTTAAATATTCTTTCTTATTGCAGTTCCAATCGGGTGTTTCCCATTACTTTGTCTTCCAGATCAATAATTCAGTCCTGTGTTTTAAACTCTGCATCTAGAGTTTCCATTTTGTTTAGTTCTTTTTCTAGAGTTTCCTCCTGTTCTTTTATTTGGGGTGTGTTTCTTTGTCTCCTCATTTTGGTTGCCTGTGTTTGCTTCTATGTGTTAAGTAGATCTGCTATCTCCCGGTCTTGGTAGAATGGCCTTATATAGTGTCTTGTGGGGTCCAGTGGCACAGTCTCCCTGATCACCTGAGCCAGGTGCTACAGGAGTGTCCCTTCTGTGGGTTGTGTATGCCCTCCAGTGTAGTTGAGCCCTGTTGGCACATCAGGTGGATGGGACTGACCTTCAGGCTACATGACTAAAGCAGACAAGCTAGTGTGTGGAGGCTAATCACATAGTGGGAGTCCTTTAAGTGGGGCTTTGTTGCCAGCTGCTTCCACCCTGCAGATGAGTCATTTGTGGAGCTAGTTGGTGGTGCCCTGATAGAGTCTAAAGCTGGCCCCAGGTGTGTTGGTTCTGGAGCTTCTTAGGAGGGGCTCCAGTGCACACTTGAGGCCACCTGGTCAGAGCTACAAAGTCTTTGTGGTTTGTTGCCACTTGTGCTGGGCTTAGAGGCACTTGGAAGAGGCTGTGCTTTGAATCAAGGCTGGTTGCCACTAGCTTCAGTCTTGGGACCCTTTGGTGGCACCACAATGTGTGCTGACACAGGCACCACGTGTGCTGGGCTCATGGCCATTTAGTTGAAGTTAGTTCCAAGTCAACACTGGCCAGTTTTGTCAGGCTTGGGGCCCCCTGATGGGAATTACAGTGCAAGTTGAGATATATCCCCTCTTGTGCCAGGCATGCCAAGGCTAGCTGCTGCTTGTTTGGGGTTTGTGGAACTTTGAGGGATTTTAGGTAAGTCCATAGTGTGAGCCACAGCAGGCCACTTGTGTGGAAGATCCATTGGAAGCACTCGGAAATTCGAGTTGAGTGGGGTGGGGTCTCAGAGAAATACCAGGGTGCGGCAAATGGCGTTAGCCAACGTGATGGAGAGCTGGGATTTGACACCCAACTGTGACTGATGGCTGAGTGCAGTAGGGCTCAGCAAAGCAATCTTGTCTGCCTGCACTTCCATCCCTGGAGAGAACTGCCCTGGCCCCTTTCCCTCCAGCCCTTACCCTGGAGCTAGTCTGTTCAGATTTTCCCTGGATGTCCCTGGCACTTTTCAAGCGGCTGACCTTGCACTGAAGCCCAGAGAAATGAGTCCGTGAGTAAGTCCATGTACAGGCCCCTCAAGATGAACGCTTGAGACTCCAGTAGCCCCATCTCACTCAGGTGCCTACTGGTTTTCACAGCGAGGTCATGAGGAGTCCTCAGCCCAGCGCTGGTGCCCGTTTGTGACTTAAAGCCTATACCTCTTGTCAAAGTCCTTGCCCCACTTCAGTGCCAGCCACAAGACTCTCTGATTCCGACGTGAGCTTTTCCAGTCACCTGACCCCACGTAGGCTCAGGGGGGTCTCAGGTACAAGGTATGACCATCAGGGGTGGAAAAAGGAACACTCTTGGATGCCAGGAAAGCAAATAGGAAAACAGGCACTTACTTGACCCCATAGGCAAATATGATAAGGCCGATGAGCACACCTGTGCTGCCATCCAGGTACCAGACCGCTGAGTTATGCTTGAATACCTCCGCGCTCAGAAGAATAGAGAAGCCCATCACGCCTCCCACGAGGGAGTTAAACCCTGGGAAAGAAGCAGAGCGAGGCTGAGGGCACTGCCGAGCAAACTTCCTTAGCCACCAAGAAACTACCCAAACATCAGCCAGCTCCACACCCAAGCCGGCGCTGCAGGGAATGTTGCCCAGAAGCACTCTCGCAGGTGACAGCTGCCAGCTGAGACCCCTGGGTGGCCTGTCGAGTCTGTTCAAATGCCACCAGAGACCTTGCTAGACAGAGCCATCACCCCCCACTGTCAGTCTCCATCCCTGCCAGGCACTCATGCCCAGAGCCTGGATGTGGTTACCGTCCGTCTGCCTTCCACACACGAGAATATCCAGACCCCATGAGGTCAGTGCAGTGCCTGGCACACAGGAGACATTCAAGTATTTGGTGACTCAAATTTGTGAATGTCTCCTGGGCCCAGTACCCAGTGGGGATCTTTTTAAATTGTTATTGATTAAGGTATTACAAATGTGTCTTTATCCGCCCCCCCACACACACACCCTTCCAATGGGGATCTTATCAGTCTGACTGTTACCCTACTTTGCTGATGAGCGAACTAAAGTTAAGCAGAGTGAGGTTAAATAAATTGACCGAGGAATACAGATTGAGAGGAGCAGGGCTAGCCCACGCCCTTTCCTTCCAGAGTCTAAGTCACCTGAGGATTTTCACTCTCTGCGAAGGAAATGCAAAGTCAAGAATTAGGCGCCTGGTTGCAGAAACGGCAGTCCAAACGGAACGGAGCTGACGGATGTTCATCACCTCCTTTCACATATATCGCACCTCAGTGGGTCCCCACAACCTAGGTGTCACACTTCCATGTTACCTGTGAGTTTCTAAGGCCCCATGGGAAGGGGATTGCTTAGAGGGGCTCCTGAGGTCGTGCTGTGGTGTGAGCCACAGGGCTGGCTCCTAGTCTGCCTCAGTGTAATGGCCTGGAGAAGCTCTGGGTCCATGCTGCCTGGTGAGCCCCTGGCAGCTGGTCTGTGCAGGCTCAGCAACCTCTCCAACTACAGGCCCTGTCTCATTCCTGGGGCAACTCCACCTATGTTGCTTTTGCCGACTCAAAATTGTTAACCCAGGTCGCACTCACTGGGGGCTGTACAGCTGGGGGAGAGGCTAAATGAAGAGCAAGGGGAGAGGAAGATGTGGGCGTAGAGAAGCCTTGAGCGAAGCCTGGGTAAGACGCCTTCTCAGGTCCAAGGTGGAGACTTCGACAACGGTAACAAGATGAATCTGGCTGATGAACAAGATGAGATGGCCCTGCAATGACATCTCATTGGCCGTTGCAACCCTCTTCTCTTCCCTCAAATCTGTCATCTTCTCACTTCAATGCTCAGCTGGTGACTCGGCCCTGCACTTCTTAGAGCACAAATGTCCGGACAACAATACCTCATCTTCCCAACACCAAGTCACACCCACCATGACAGCTGCCCCACATCCAGTTACATGCTCACCAAGGGACTTTGTTCTTGAAATTCTTCTCCCTCCTCTGAAACATTCCTACTGGGATAAATCTTAGCTTCCCATCACCCACCTCAAACTCCTCCCTGACCCCACGCCACCTGCACCACAAGCCCCTTTACAAAACTTGCAGAGTTGTCTGCCCAACGGCACCTCCTCTTCTCTCTTCATCCCCTGCCCCTCAGATGCTCTCCTCCCCGACGCCCTCCCTGAGCTCAGAGACAACTGAGCTGCCATGTGCGTGGTGAACTGGTTGGCCTCATCCTCCGGAACACTTTCCTCCGGCCCCCATGACTCTGCTGGCTTTCCCCTTTCCCCTCCAGCGCTTCCTTCTCAGTCTCCTACGCCAGGTCCTCTTCCCCATCTGAGCACGCTGCCAGTGCCCGGGGCTCCTCTGTCTACATTTCCCCTGAGGTTGTCACCTCCAATCTCACACGTCCATGTCTCCCAACTTTCTCTCTTTGGCCTGACCCGTCCCCTCAGCTGCAGACTCGTATAAGCATTTCAAACTGAACATGTTCAAAGCAAAAACCTCAATTTCCGCTCAAAACACCTCATCCTCCCTGTATATGATGCCACCGTTCACCTAGCTGCCAAGACCAAACATCTAGGAGCCCACCCTTGACTTCTGTCACTCCCCAAATCTAATCACCCCCCAAATCTAATCCATCAAGTAATCCTTGCCAACTGTTACCCCTAAACTCATTCTCCATCTCTCTACCTCTCAGCAGCCCCACCGCCCAAACCTTGCCCAAGCCCCCCTTGGCCCTCGCCGGCACCCCTGCCTCCTCACCACCTTCCCTGCTTCCCCTCCTGCCCACATCTCCCTTAACCCACAATCCATTCCCCTCACAGCAGCCAGAGTGACCACAGGAAGTGGACAGCCTCTGGTTGTCCTTTGAATCATCCTGTTCTTTAAAAAAAAAGAAAAAGTCTCTGTGGCCCATATCTTCTCTCCACAGGCCACCAGAGGCATCAGCAGAGCCCGTGCTCTGTCACAGGTGACCTGGGCTGCAGCTGACCTCTGCAGAGGGGAGTGGAGGTTTTGCTTTGGGTTGGCTAGAGAGAAGGGAGGCAAGGAGGAGATGGCCGCTGCCTGGAACCTTCAGCCCCTCTCCATCTATGGGCCATGGGCACAGGTTGGCCTGTGGCGTCCTCGGAGAAGCCCAGTGGAGCTCAGAAAGCAGACAGAGCGTGAGGTTCCCCCAGACGGCCACTAGATGTCCACTCAGCTCCACCAAGGCACGGCTCTGCCAGCCAAGCACAGCCCAGACCCCTGTTTCTGACACAGGGCCCCACCCCATTCGTGCTCCCACCCCCGGGTGCTGCCCACAGTTCACAGCTGATGGATTCACTGTTCACCTGGCTCACAGCCACCTTCCAGGAGGAGCCCTGCCTCCTCAGCTCTGCTCACCTGGGCTATGACAGTCTGGCTCAGTTCAACCTCACCTCACACAGGGCTGCAGGGCACGCTGGGGTGGGCGCAGGGACCGGGAGGGTCCCGTGTCTGCCTGCAGCAGCCTCAGGAACTCCAGCTGCAGTCACTCCACACAAGGAACCTGAGCTCGCAGCCCCACCCCCAAACCGCCCACCTTCCCACTGCTGGTCACTCTCACTGGGCACTGTCCCCGCCCACCAGGCCACTCACTTTTCTGCTTCCTCAGTTAAAACCCGGGCTGTTGTCAAGAATAAAGGCTGCTATCCCTTTAAGAAGCTGAGTAGGGGCTCCACCAGTCCGGCCTTAATGATAGGTAAGACTCCGTTTAATGAAGTACATCAGCGTCATGCAGGAATTCTGATGACGAGGTTTCATGTGCTGAACACCATGGCAGACGCTTGGTATTCAGAGATGAGAAGGAGCGAGGGGAGTCAGCCCAGGGCCCTCAACCCGGGTTTCCAGCGGCAGCACCGGAGCCGGGCTCCTGCCCCACCTCAGAACCCCTCCTCCTCCCGCCAGACTTTCCCATTAACTTACTGTCCAGTCCTTTTACCTTCAACAACACAAAGCTGCCTCCAGCGTCGTGCTGATTGCAGCAATTGCATGTTGCCTAAATAACTAAAGGAACACAGTCTAATTGACAAGATTCGTTGCGCTGCACAGCACAGGGTGGGAAGTCTGCGGGTACCACACCCTGGTGTCCGCTTTCTCTGAAGACCTGCTGTGGTGAGGACACAGCCCAGCATACAGGATCCGGTGCAGCCAGCCGGACCCAGCTCACATACAGCTCCAGCGTGGGAACCAGCCACTCACCAGGTGACAGACGAGGCCCGCCCTCCCGCCTGCACAGAAGCACTTTGTGGAGAGAGAAGGCCACACCACAGAGGACATTCCCAGGGCAGTGGGCACAGGTGGAGGCCCCCAGAGCCAGCCCCTCAGAAACCCCAACATTAATGAGAGGCACGGCTCCCAGACCCCACCCTCTCCCACCTCCCAAAGAGGAGATGATTACAGATGGTTCCCTAGCTCTGCTCCTCAACAAATGAGTGAAATACAATTAGCAGGAGGCTGCAATTACCACTGCATATTTTGCTGACACTCCCACCACACACCACCCACCGCCCCAGGTCCCTCATGGGTAACAGGCTCTGCCCTTCACCAGAGTTCTGTCTGTATGTCTGTCTTTCTCTCACTCTGTCATCAACCCCCATGGCCCATTCATCCCCGAGCCCTGTCCATTTGACATGCATTGTCAACACTTCCTCAAACCCCCTACATCCTCAGCCCCTGCCCTCACTGCTGCCCAAGCCCCCAGGCCACCACCCTCAGCTCCCCAGACCTCCCCTGCTTGGCACTCACTGCCCCGCTCTGTTCCCCATCTGATGGCAGAGGACTGTTTAGAAAACATTAAGCGTGTCTCCTCATCTGTTTAAATATTTAGCAAAACACACAGGATCCTACACTTGACTTACAGTCCAGCAGGACCCGCCCTTCCCCACTGTCCCAGCCCTCACCCTGTGCCCCCTCCTCACGCAGCCCCCTAGGTGTCCCAAGCCCCGCCCCCATGCCCTCTGCCTGGGGAGCGCTCTTCCCTGCCTTCCAGTTTAGGGAACAATTTTCACTTAAACGTCTACTTTGTAATGACACCTCTCTGTTCAAGAATATGATGGAAATATTCTGAAAATTCTGGTCAGAAGTTATTTCATTAGAAAAATCATACTTGTCATTGGGGTCTTCTCTGTGCACCCTATGAAATGTGGTGAGTTCAAAGGGGAGTGAAGCCTAAACAGACACTGTCTGGAATTGCTATCACACGTGATGCAGAGCACCCGTCCGAGACGGTCAAGCCCACGGTCATGGGTGGGAGGGTCTGACGGCTGGTCCACCCTCAGTCTCCTGGAGAGCACTTGTGTGTCTGGACAGAGAAGATGCTGAGACCCTGCAAACCACAGGGGCTTCGTGATCTTAGGGCCCAAGGCGGCTGGGAGAGGAGCTATTCCTTAGTGCTCACCCCTGGCCTGCCCTCCCCATCCCGGCACCCACGTTCCAAGCAAAAACACATGAGAATGAGGCATACAACACACGCTGGAGAAACCAAGGTGCAGCCAGGCCTCTACTCTAAAGGGCCCGGACGGAGTGTCCCCCACAGCAACGGGAAGGAACCTTGAAGGTGGCCAGACCCCCACACCGAACGTCCATTCACAGCACACAGCCCTGAGCTCTCAGCCCAAGCCCCCCTGCACTGTCAGCCCCGGGGAGAGGAGGACTCCATGGCCAACGGAGGCATGTTCCTGCCCCGATTCTGAAACTCCAGACCACACAATCACAGGGATGAGCACTTCTCTCCCAAGCTGGGCTGCCTGGAGAGGAACGAGCACCTTTCCTAGGGCCAGCCGGATGCAAGCTGCCCACAGGCCCAGCTGTGGGGTGGGCGGCAGAGACCTCTGTAGAGGTCTTCTCAGAAGGCTGCACGCTTCTCAGGGACTGCGCCACAGCTCTGTACACCAGAGGGTCTTGATTTAACTAAGTGCAGCCCCGCTTTGGGGACCAGGCGGGACTCTTCCTAGCAACAGGACAGACCCCGAGAGAGGAAACTCTGGTTCTGCATCAGGAGCAGCTTCCCAGCTAACGTGGTGCCAGCCCAGCACTAGGCTCAAAAGAACTCTGCAGAGCCTGCCGGTCGGTGCTACTGCAGTATCAGCTCTAACAGCACAGACCCAGGACCTGCTGCCAGCTGAGCCCTGGCTTCCTTGGGCCTGCCCTTCGTGGGGCACCCTCGGGGCCCATGGGGAGCTCCAGGAGCCGGGCTGGCCGCCTGGCCCACACAGAGGGGCCTGCACGCTGCCTGAGAGCAGAGCAGGGACTCAGAGGCCTCACTCCCCGGCGCCGGTCTTTTCACTATTTTAAACAGCTCTTACTACTTAAAAAGTTTGGGTTTGCTATGGGCATGTGGCCTCCGTAGCACAAGGAGGCAGGTGGCATCTTGCAAGGGCAGATGCAGACAGCAGGCCCTGCTGGTCAAAATGGCAGAGGGGACCCTGCCAGGTCCACCTTCCCTAGTGTGGAGTGTGTCCTGGCCCCCAGGCTGGTGTGAAGGCAGCACAAACCTGTGCTCATCACATGGACAGGACCCACCTCAGGCCCGGGAATGTGCATCTAAGCAACACCATAGGCAATTCTGATGCTGCCAGTGGCTGTGGTCACCTGACTGGCATCCAGGGTCCCCTGGTCTTGCAGTCAGCACATCGGATCATGTAAGCCCCAATTTCCTTGGGTCTGTTCAAAGGAACCACACACACACACACACACACACACACACACACACACACACAGATGCTCCCAGGGCAGCTGTCATTGCAAAGCTGGAAATACCACTTTGACTTCCTACCCACCAGCCAAACTGTGCAAAGGCCCACCTCCATACACAGTAGGGCATCAGCACGGGACAAGGAGTTGAAGTTCACACAGTGTACCAGGCTTTGTCATTTGGGGGAGAAGGGCCCTCTGCACTGCCATTCACCCCCCGCACAGCACCAACAGCCACCCACGCACACCCGCCTGCTCTGTATTCCACAGAGGAGAGCACCTCGGAGTTGGGGTAGGTGTGTGTGTGAGTGGTTCTTTTCTTAAAGAAAGAAATTCAGTGATTTCTTCTCCATTTTGTGCAGACACACACACCAACCCCACAAGCTTTTACCCTTTGACCTCTCACCTCAGAGTACAGAGGCTTCTGTATTCATGACCTCCTGGCAACTACACATGCTCAAGAATGGAGAAAAAGAACATGGCCAGGTGGTTAGTTTGTAAAGTTTCTTGTTTATACACCAGCACTAGTTCACAAACTGAAATGCATTTACCTGGTTTCACACACCCTTCTCTGTCATCCCAAAGGCAATGCAGGAAGCGCCCCCTGGCCTCTAGGGGCACAGGGACCCTCCACCTGGTCTGGGTTCTCAGTGGATCACTTCCCCAGCAAAGCCCTGGTTCCTGCACCTTGAACTCCTAGCTAGGTGAGCATCTTATGGCTGGAGGGGGAATGAGCATGAGAATCCACAAAGAAAACCTGTCTAGATTGCAGAAGAGACCTTCACGTCTAGTTTGGAGCAATGCACATAAAGCCCAAGACTCTGGGAAGCCCTTTGTGCTTCGTGATAAGATGCTAGGGAGCCCCCATCCACCCTGTTGGGAGGGTCAGGGCGGAGGTGATTCCTGAAGAATTTATTACAGTCCCAGGGCACAGCTATCTGCCCCAATAAGGAGCCCTGAGAATCATTAAACCACCTGAGGAGATGAGGCTAGTGAGACCTGATTCCCAATTGGTGACCTTTTCTGCAAGACAAGCAACTAAAGGCGACCCGCCCTGCGCCCCGGCCTGGGAGGTCAGGCGCTGGCCCCACTCACCGTCGGTTATGAGCGCTCTGCTGGTCAGCACCTTCCCCAGCATGAACTTCAGCACGGCCAGCGTGCTGCAGAGGATCCCACTCAAAATGGAGACGCTGAACAGGAAGTCATCCTAGAAGAGAAAGGTCCAGATTTCAGCATTTCACCCACTAGAGCAAACCATCTGCAAACCACTTGCCTTAGCAGTGGTTCTCAAGCTTCTGGCCCGTTAAACACAGTTCCTCATGTTGTGACCCAACCATAACATTATTTTCGTTGCTACTTCATAACTGTAATGTTGCTACTGTTATGAACCGTAATGTAAATATCTGATATGCAGGATGGTCTTAGGCGACCCCTGTGAAAGGGTCGTTCGGCCACCAAAGGGGTCGCGACCCACAGGTTGAGAACCACAGGGATCAGCTTGGTTCCCAGGACAAGTAGTCAGTTGTGTGTGCTGCCACCAGGAGGCGGCTACGTTGCTTGTTTTCATACCTTCGTTACCTGTGTCCCTGGGAGCTGGAAAGGTGATTAAAACCAGATGCCCCGGACTTATATTTCCTTAGAACCATCAGGTGCTTCTTTTCCTATAGGAGATTCCCCTTTGCACTATTCTGCCGAAATGAGTGGCAATCATTGATTAGTAACAGAACTGGTTAGAATATTAAAAACAGTGCCTTCTGTGTAGAGTTTTTGATAGAGAATTTAAAAAGCAGTGGTTAAGAATTTTGGAGCATGAAAGTACACCAGTGGCCTAAGAACACTTCAGCACAGAACCAATGAAATTAGCCACAGGGCCAAGTATCAGTGCAGCAACTTATAACCATATTCCTCCCTTAAATTCACAGGAGACGATTAGAAGTTCAACTACAGCCTTCAAGGTGTGAAAAAGGGGCATCTAAAAATACAGTCTGCTACTGACGCAATCTTAGCACTTCCTATAAGCTGTTACCTTGCCTTCGCAAGCAAGCGAGTGAGTCACATGCAAAAGAAAGCACCCCGTCGCATGACCTCAGGCCTGAGGCTCTGGCTTCAGGCTCCGTGCTCCCTCCCAGGAGACACAGCCTCCAGATTCTCCGATATTAAAATGCAACTGCCAGCAGAAATCTAATAGAGCATCACATATATGCAAGGAAATTGGATTTCTTAAGCATTTTATTATTCAAATTCACTAACCTGGTGACAGAAAGTTGGGAAGAGGGATGACAGCCTGCTTCCCTGAGTTCAAAACTGAACAAAGTCATTGGAAAAAATCACCTCACTGGAAACAGGATATCCGCATGGTGCCAAAGCATCCCCCAATCCTGGTCAATGGTGGTTGGTGGGTTTTTTAAAAATATGTTTTTATTGACGAAAGAGGGGGGGGGGAGAGAGAGAGAAATGAGAGAGAAATATGGATCGGCTGCCTCTTGCACACATCCCGAGAGGGGATCAAGCCCAAAACCTGGGTATGTGCCCCAACTGGGAATCGAACCAGCGACCCTTCGGTGCACAGGACAACGTTCAACTAAGTGAGCCACACTGGCCAGGGTAGCGGTGGCTGGCTTTAACATACGTCCACAGTCTTTTGCAACTCCTTCCTCTGGGAGGCACAAGTTAACTTCCCCTTCCCCTGAGTGTGGGCTGGACTCACGAATGGTATCTAACCAATAGGGTATGGAAAGGGAAAGACAGCAACTTTAACAGTGGAGAGCCCAGCAAGTGATCAAAAGTAAAATGACCATTCATAAATTATGCTGACACCACGTGCCTTCTGATATGATGTAGAGAGAACATCTCTTTGTGTTCTACCTAAAAAGTCCAGAACCTCAGCTTAATTGTGAAAAAACATTAAACAAACCCATGTCCAGGGACAGTCTACAAAATATCTGAGTACAGTACTACTTCTGACACATGTCCAGGACATGAAAGACAAGGCAGCACCGAGGAACTGTCACAGATTGGAGGCCAAGGTGACATGAGGACCAAGGCCACCTGGTGTCCTGGGCTGGATCCTGGGAAGGAAAAGCTCATTAAGTGGAAAAGCAGGGGCACCAGACAGTCCGGGGTCTTGTTCACAGTGTGGCAGTCTCCTGGTTGGGTGAAGGTACCCTGGCTGTCTAGTGAGAGGTTAAACCTTAGGGGAGGCTGGGTGGAGGGTGTACGGGAACTCTGCAATGTCTAGTAACTTCTATAAATCTAAAATTATTTCAAATTGTAAAGTTTTTTAAATAGTCGCCTTTCTGAAGTTGCGCCTCCTCACATTATCAGTAAGGACTGTGCCAAGCCTGGCCTCCTGGCAGGTCCCACGTCCCTGTTGTGCACGAGGTAACAGAGCGGGGCCATGCGGGAGGAACCCAAATCAAACTCCCTTTGTGCAGGCACTGGGCAGACTCGGGGAGACCATGGCGCAGCCACAGGAAGCAGTGTGGGCATTGTGAGGGAGTCTCAAATCCGCAGGCCCAGGTGGCCATGTGCTTCAGGGAGCGTAAGTTGGGAGACCGAGGCATTCCACTAAGCACTCTGAGGCCCAAATTCACAGGCTGAGTCCTGACTCTGCTCCATTCACTCACTCAGTTTGCAAAGCCCTCATTCCTCAATGTCCAGAAGTGGGTACAGTCTATGTTCACCCCATCTGGACCCAGGGCACACTGGGTTGATCCCCGCCCCGAAGCAGCTCAGAGAGGCCCCGTGGCCCCGGCCGTCCTCTCCTGGGTCTGCTAACGCAGGAAGCTGTGCTGTCTGCAGATCAGTGACCAAGGGCAGTGGTGAGCCAGGGGGCCCCTGTTCAAGTCTACAACCCATCACTCGCTACGGAAACAAACCCAAGCTCTCAAGTCCCAATTCTCTTTCCCGTAAATGGCAGTGTGATACCCACAGCCCTGGCAAGAGCTGATGTGCAACAGGTAGCAATTGTCATCAACGGCCCAACACATGAGCCAGGCACTAACTTCTTCCACCAAACAGCCACTAGGTGCTGACAGTCAGCCCCGGACTAAGTAGGTGACATTCCTACAGGAGGAACACAGGGGACTCACTAGGGAGGACAAAGCAGGCCAGGGGAACGTACAGAAAGGGCAGAGGCTGCGGCTGGGACCGGAGTGGCTGATCAAGAGAGAAGGCGTGTGGGACCCATCCTTCCCCAGAAGCTTCATCTTCAAGAAGCTCTCATGGCCCAGGGCTCTGAGGTGGGTTCCTGGAGGAACAGGGGGCGGGTTACTGGCATCACAGAGCAGAAGCACCGGGCACAGCTAAAGGCACTGGAGCCCGAGCCCCCTGAACATCTGTGTGACTGGGCACACCCTGAGCCTCCCCTCTCCCCTCCATTATCAGATGGAGCAAAGAGCAGACCTCCCACCCCTGGTGGCTATGCACTGTGTCCCCAGCCATCAGCAGGAACTACGTTTCCCAGAATTCCCATCCTCCGCGGCTCTGAGTCCCACTTGGCCCCAGAGACATTTGTGTGGAAGGCAGAAGTGAAGTGTGGGCCCCTAGTCCCTGGGGGCAGGTGGAGGGCACCAGGTGCTGCTGCAGCCACGCATGTGCTGCTGACCCACTGGCTCGGCTTAGACTCGAGGGAGGGTGGCGGCCAGCCCAGCACGCCCTGCCCCTGCTGGGCCCCTCCAGCGTCTCTGTGCCCTTAGCCACCCATGGCGTCAAAGTGGAGACCATGCGGTCAGATGGGGCTCTAGTCCACCTTCAGGGAACCAGGTTGCCATTGCTCTGCTCCCCTCATTCCCACGTTTCCTTGCTTCCAGGCAGTCCTGCCGCCTTCAGGCCCAGATTCCGGGGCGGCAGCCAGCAGGGGCCCTTCTTCAGCCCCCCAACCCCCCGTAAGGTCCCACCCCTGCAGCCACATCCGGTGTGGTTCCTCAGAGAGGTGCCTCTTCTCTGCCTGAGCCTGACACACTACTGCATAAGGACGTTGCAAAGTGCTAAGCAGGGCCTAATGCGGAGGAAATGCTGTGTATAAGCCAACATGCGAACCCAGGGGTGCCCCGTCTGTGGATTATTTTTGTTACCCACACTCTGTGCCCAGGGTCACCTTCCCGAAGTCTGAGAGAACAGGCTGTGCCATCTCAAGGCCTCACCCAGGCTTGTTGGCTCACTATTGCTGCCCTGATCTGCCTCTGAAACACATGAGTCCGGAGGGACCCCAGAGGACCTGGGCTGGCCCAGAGCTGCCGAAGTCCTCCCTCAGAACCAGCGTTCAAGTCCTCAAGTCCTCTGAGCCCGCCCCACCAGAGCCCACCTGGCTCTCCTCTCTCCACATCACCACCCATCGACTCTCAGCACGAGCAGAGTGTCACAGAGATGCAGGCATCAGCCTGCTCAAGACAGCTGCCATGGACTGTAGTGTCCCCCAAAATGCCGATGCTGAGGCTCTAGCCCCCCAATGAGATGAAGCCTTTGGGAAGTATCAGGGTTAGATGGAGGCATGAGGGTGAGGCCCTCGTGATGGGATTAGCGGCCTCCTGAGAAGAGGAAGTGACCTCTCTCTCAGCCACTCCCACTCCCATTGAGGAAAGGCCAGGCAAGGCCACAGTGAGAGGTGGCCACCTCACTGAGACGTGAGAAACACATTCCTGTTGTTTAAGCCACCCAGCCTCTGGCATTTGGTGTGGCAGCTCAAGCTGACAGAGTCCCTGAATATGATAAAGAGGATCCTCTCTGAGAGTCAGGGAACCAGAGCACACGTGGCTAAGGATGAGAAACTGCAACCCGAGGGTGGGGAGCCACCATTGGCCTCTTTCAGGTGCGGCCACACCTGCTTCACTTCCTCTCACAGCCCCGTTGAGCCAGCCTTGGATGGTAGAGATGCAGGTGCCCCGGGTCACTCAGCTGGTGTCAGGCCCTGGATGTGTGCCCAGCTGTAAACCTACCAGGACACCTCATTCGTGGCCTTGTAAACATCTCTCATGACACACGGACTCTGAAAACAGAGAGACAGCCACTGCCTTGTTAGGTTTCCTTTCCACTGTTACCAGCACTGGCCCTGTGATTGCTCAGATTTGAATCTTACTGAATGGATAGAAGATCAGGGCAAAATAGTGCAAGAAAACGGGCTAGGGACTCCAAAGCTAAGGGTAAATGTGCATTGAAGGTAAATGCTCCGTAGATGGTGTTTATGCCGTGAGCTTCTCCATGACCTTA